ACTTACAAAAATTTTACACATTTTTACAAACTAACAAAACCTGTTTGGATTTTAGTTAGGGCAAATAAGTTTTATTTATTTTTATTGAAAAAAAGAAAAATGTTATGTGGAGCTGCGATCTTTGAATTTTTTTGCTTGGCAATTGTTAGCAATAAACTCAAAAATAAATATCCAAATGAAATATAAAAAAGTATAAAATAAAAAGATGACATTAATATTACTTTAAAAAAAGTTATTTGTCTATGTTAGACAATAGTTTATCAAATATATAAGAAAACAGCAATGGTTTTATGGCTGTAATATTTCATAATACAAGTAATTAGTGGACTGTGTAAATCATGAAAAGTGGAATAATAATAGTGGAATAAAATGTCTTGCATGGGTTTTGAGCGTCATGCGTAGCAATAACATTTCACACCATCGGTAAAAGAGGAAGAAGCTTAGTCTCACAAAGTCTCATGACACCGAACCGCAGCGTTATGCACTTTCAAAAGCATGACTCAGTTTGATGTGGACGTCTCATGGTAAAAATACATTTAAGGAACTGAGACAAACATCTGCATATGGGTCACAGAAAGAGCTTGCATATCACCCCTTTGAAAAGACTGCTGTCTGCTTCCTTTTTTTGTCCTTTTCTGTGACTGGCCCCAAGTAGCTGGGATTTGTGTGTGAGCTGAGTGCTTATAAAAGTCATAAGTTTACATTTTATCCCAACCAAAACATGTCTTGTCATCTCTCAGAATACAGGCCTATCCATATTCATTTGCTCTCTCGCTTGCTTTTTTCTTTTTAATTCCATTAAAAACTTAAATAAAAAAATTTTTTACTTTTTTTTAGCAAACAAATAAATAATAAAAAAATATTTTTTACATTGAAAATTGGCCTTACATAGGTCTTGTTCTCTTATTATTTTCATCAACAGTATGGTTTAGTAATTAAAATCATTTAATTATTGTCCGTGCAGAGGCTATTCCGTTTTATTGATCTATGGCGCATTCATTTTGATTCTTTACACGTGTAATGATGTCCAGTGACTTGTTTGCATTATTTATGCATTATTTTATTTATTTGTAAGACTTTTTTATGACTAAATTTGGTAATGGGAGAGTAAAAATATTTTTAAAACGTACACCGTTCAAACTAGGCTGCTTATGTTGAAGTGTTTGGGATGTGGCTTTTAATGATGAGACCTTTTTTGTAATCAGGCTCTCAAAAAGTATATAACAATTTGGATATAGATTTATCGGCCAACATATCGGTTATCGGCTTTCAAAAATAAAGAATAATCGGTTATCGGTATCGGACAAAATTTTCATATCGGTGCATCCCTAGTCTAGAATATCACTAATAAATACTTATAACATACTAGCATTTTGGAATTGTTTTGCAGTGGGCTTTTTTTCAGAGAATGTAAAAATAAACTTTTTCTAAGCTTTTTTTCATATCTGATCTGTACCTTTCTCCACCTTGTGACAAACAAAACTTGTAATATCTGCTAGCAGGCAGTGCCTGTGTTGAACGTGGAGCGTGCTGACCTTGTTTTTGCATGTAAAACCGTGTGGTTTGGGGTGGGGAGCGGAGCGGAGCGGAGAGCAGATAGATAAGAGCTTTTAACGCTGCCTTTTCTCGGTGAAAGCACAGCGCTCAGGGCGACACGGGTCCCTTGAGCCTACCGCGCTCTCATGAGATGACAAACGCAAGGTGCAGTTTGCTGTGTTTATTTTTAGAGACTTTCTTCTGTTTAACTCTGAATCATGCTGTGCCGTGTCCCGGTGGAGTCTGCGGTACATCTGCTGACAGGGAGACACATGAGGAAAACACATATGAACACGCACGATTCACAACACAACACAAGTATTGACTGCTGCATCTTTTTATCTCTGCTATAGTTTCTTTGTTAAATTAGATGTATTTTGCACTTTAAGCATTTGATGTCTTCTCAGAAAGCTTGTAATAATGTTAAATGAATAGTTCACCATGGACATGATACAGTGATCAAATGTGACTTTTTTTTTATATTGTTTTTGCCAAACTTATTTTTACTTGTTTCAAAAGTGAATAAATCAGTAAATAAATCATTTAAAAAACAACAATTTAAAAATATATATTTTTAATAAAAAAATTTTTTTTTTATAAAATTGGTTTAATAAAAAATGGCCTTATATATGTCTAGATAGCAGAATATCAGAGACTTTCATGGCTCTTTTTTTAAAAGGAATTAATACTTTAATTCAGCAAGGATGCAATAAATTCATCAAAAGTGACAGTAAAAACATTTATAATGTTACAAAAGGTTCATCTTTTGATATTTCTATTCAACATAAAAAAAAATCCTGAAAAAATTATATCCATCAAACTATTAAGCTGCACAACTTTTTCAGCATTGAAAATAATAAATGTTTCTTGAGCACCAAATCATCATATATAAAAATAATATCTGAAAGATCATGTGACACTGGAGTAATGATGCTGAAAATTCATCTTTGTATCACAGGAATAAATTACATTTTAAAATATATTAAAATAAAAAAAATTTTAATTATAATATTTCACACTATCACTGTTTTTACTGTATTTTGGCTAAACTTCCCATTAGCAATGAATTAGCAAGTTGGAGAAAACTGTGAATAGAAATCTATATTGAATGTAAATATGGAGGTCCATATGTTGATCATGTCATAACCATGATGATTTTTATATGACCTTTTTAAAGCTATGTTTTCAGTAATTATATGGCTGGAAGAGGGAGAGAGAGCTTTGCAATGTGAGCATTAGCATATGACCGCATAGTGCTTTTATTTTAAAAGAGTAAAGAAATGCTGTGTACGGTTTAATTTAACTACTAAACAGATGCAAAATTACATTTGTCAATTTTTCTTCACATAATGATTGAATTCATTGAAAGGTCACCATGAATTCATCAAGGAAGTTACTTAATTCTTCATGAAACCTTCAAATTCAGGATGCAACAAATGCCTCGTTTATAATGGGTTTTAATGTTTTTGTCTCTTCGCTCCGGCCGGACAAGGCATCACAGTATGTTAAGGGGCATAACATTTCCGTCACACACTTGAGGTATTCGGCCAATCACAATGCTCTGGATAGCTGGCTTTGTAAAAATCGACGCATAGAGGAGAAACAGTAATGTACAGTATGTGGAAAATAATGTGTTTTTTTAACCTTAAACCGCATAAACACATTTCATTACACCAAATAATGTTCTTTTTAGCAGCATCATATGACCCCTTTAAAACTAATTGTAAATGAATAAGATGTTAAAGAGTTTAATGAGAAACTATATTTAAATATTTCAGATGCTGACTAGCAGCAGTGGTATGGTTTAGTCAGCTAGGCCTATTTGACTAGTTTTGCACAGGGTACTTGTTAATTGTCATGACGGAAAAAAAACAGTAGGGCAATGATGTATGGAAGCCCGTTTCCGCCACTAAATAAAAAAATATAATTCTGTAAGTCATAATAATGAGAAACTAAGTCATTATTTCGAGAAACTAAGTCATAATAATGAGAAACTAAGTCATAATAATGAGAAACTAAGTCATAATAATGAGAAACTAAGTCATAATAATGAGAAACTAAGTCATAACAATGAGAAACTAAGTCAT